GTACCTGCCTCCCAGTGAGCGACGTTGTTCTCTCTAAGACTGGAACCCGGGACTGGTTGCCTCAGACACTAAACAGTCATCTTCTAGGCCGCCGAGTCTCGATGGCCACTCCAACAATACAAAAACCTGTACCCAACACTGAAGAAGTGTCTATCGTGACTTGGTGGCCTAGTTTGAGGCGATCAACCCTGGGTTTCAGTCTTAGTGGGAACAACATCGCTCACTGGAGCGTAGGTACATCCAGCTTACGAGTCTTGGGCAGGATGAAACGCACGTCCTCCATCCCACTTCTAACCACTATCCATCAGTAATAATCGATTTCGTCGTGTTAAGTTCGCTAACTGTTTCTGACCACTGAAGAAAATAAAGGCCAAGTAATTAAGGATTGACTTAGTTCATAGACTACGCTTGTTTACAGATCCACTAACTTTGTTTGTGTTACCAGCCTGCAAATGAAATCAGTGTAATCCTAAATTCTAACATTTATCATGTGTTAAGCATTAATGAAACCTATACAGTTTCTATGACCTTATCAGATGCGTAGTTCTAACTGAATCTGTTTTATAAACAAACGTAAATATAAATGAGCTTAATTACTAGAGTGAAATTTAAATATCTCTTACCTGCAAAATCTTACTTTTTGGATTGTTCTGAAACATGATTATCCGTTTTGTGGTCCTGCTTAATCATGAAAAGATATCCATTAAGAAAGTGTTAACTAAATTTCACCTGTTGTGACAGGTCACGAGGTTAGAAGATTTGTTTTAATCAATGACTGGGTTAGTATTCTAGATCACTGAATATTTCGCTGTCTATATGACTTAGTGCAGTAGAAGCTACCTAAAGACAGACTGACCGGTCTGTGTTTCACGCAGCCTTTAAAAGCGTGAAAAGTATTTTTGCTATTTGTAAGTTACCTCTGAAATTTTGATCATTTAGTTTCGAAATATAAGGAATCTTATCCTTCACATATTACTTCTTCAGAAAAGCACATAGAGGGATAGCAATTCAAGATTACTACAAAATTGTCATGAGCACTGGTTATCTAACTACCTTTAAACGTTTCTTATATTTCTTGCTCAGTTCCATATCATGTCAGTACTTGACCATAAATTCCATGAACACTACCAATGATATTAAAATCAGCGTTTAGATTTACACTACACAGTTGTCACATATAACTGTTTATAGTTGCATTTTTTTCAAGCATATATTAATTGATTCGCAAAATGTTTGTGTTGAGTAATAAGGATGATGTCAGGACTGATCGCATTGCCTTATGATATTTTGGTAGACAAAACCATTACAATCGCCTTGTTAGTTTTATGCCTACGAGAAAATCTATGGTGGTCATTATAATAAGCACTGGTCATCTATACTTTCTGGATTTCAGTATTTATGACAAAACTTTGCTTAGTATTTCGACATCATAAGACTGTCTAATTGTTCGGATTCGACCAAAGTGTCCATAGTTTGCTAATATAACTGTCAGATATTTAAATCTTTTATGTGATAATAAAGTATCTATTAGAAGCTGATGAACGACTGAATGGCTATAGAAGTGGTCGATGGATGTCTGTAAGTCCGACAACTGTCTTAACCTAAATTTGAAATTCCTAACTGTTATATACCTAGTTCCCTAAAACTCACTAATAGGTCGTTTATAGTCTTAAATAAAAATTACTCCCCTACAGTTACAGGCTCAAAGTATTCTAGAACCGGCTTTATTCCTGATTAAAAAACTATCCTGAAACGTCATTCAATTTAACTGAACAGTTATGATTACACTATATCATCCAACCTTAGTGTTTGATAAAGAACTCAAAACGTCTTCCTATTTAAGGAACTTTATATGAATTGAACAAAGATAATTAAAACAAGAAATAAATTCCCGTCGTCATTCAAACGACAAAACTACTGCGATGTTAGCATTATCTTAATTGTAGTTACTTTAGTCCATAAGACAAAGCTTGGTTGCAAACTAATAAATCTCCTCAGTTGTGACAAGTTGTACAGATGTACTGTCTGGGTTTTTTTAGTAATCAAAATTAAATGCTTTGTACACTGGTTTCATCGTTGATTCAACTTTTCATGAACTTATGCTTGAATAGTTAAACACCTTTTTGTCATGGAACGGAATCAAACCAAACAAATTAACCAGAGACTCTTAGTGTGCAGACCACAGTGTTGGTTTATTCAGGGTTAATTGTGATCCTGCACGTAGAGGCTTAGCCTATTGAACTGATGAGATATTATGAAAAACTAGTGTTCACTAACGGTTTCCTCAATGCTGACAAAAAGACTCGTGTACAAAATGTACAACCAGAAATACAAATCATTATGTTATTTTAAAAATAACATTATCTCCAAGTGAAGGCAGTTGATCGCTCCTGAACAATTAACCCACGTCAGTTAGTCAAGATCATGTTATCGAACAATGTCATTTATTCCAGATATACTTTTTCAAAGTGCACTGTTGATTTAATTGGTCATAATACGTGTAACTAACATTTCTTGTTAGGATCATTTTCATCTAACCAGTGAAACTTTCCAAGCAGTTTGAACGATTTCACGTGGCTTAAGTTTCACTTCTGTACTTACTTGAACTGTTGAGATACGCGGTTTGAAACACAAAGATCGACCAAACAAAAATCCAAACTTGTTTAATGTAACAAAAACGGTAAATACCAACTTCTAGCCTACTTCTTGTGTGATGGTGGTTTGGTTTTCTCTGCTAAGTTAGTGCCGAAAATGTTACTAAGCTTGGTGATGAAACGTGGAAGACAGAATATCAAAACTGAGAGAACACCAAACTACCATCGTCCTCATCCTAAGGTATAAGTCTTTTCCATTATCTAAATAACCTCTTGTGTTGTACTCTGTATCATCCGTTGCTTCGTTGCATAACAGTATATAGCATCATGCATGCAGAGTAGAAAGCTGAAGAGTTCTGCTTAAATTTATGATTTCCAAAAATCTGCGTTAATCACTATTTTTGCTTGTGTCAAACCTCGTTTTTATCACAAAAGGTCACCTATAATCCATTCCAAGGTCCACTAATTACTTTTAAGTGCAACTGGTGAGTGCTTGAGTAGAGTTTATTGTTCATCCCATGAATTTAAGGGTGATGTCTAATTCTCTGTATCTCTTTTCATTTGTCTCTATAGTATAGATTCAAAATGTTAGTTGTCAGACAAGTATATAACGTATTTGGTTGAGAAAGGTTGTGGTCTTTACAAGTTCACCTGGTATTACCTTAGTCCTCTAAAGTTTATCTCATATGATTATCATAAGGCGTAAAAAATTAAAATTGGCTTCCATCAACTATATTCCTTACAAAACTGTCAGCACATAAGTGCTTCAATTTTAAACTGTCAGTCCCTAGACTATTATCTTTCCACCATTAATGGCAGCCAGATTTATTGTGTTCATCTGATTCTGTAGCAATAACTTAAAGCTATCAAACGAAACTTCACCTACAGGATTCCTTAGAAAGAGGATCATATAAAAAAATGATCATGTTTCAGTTTATTGAATCAGTTACCTGATTAACAATCCTTAGGGAATTATTTTATCATGTTATGCATATTAACCATGCAATTAGTCGACGATACTTTAAGTTTCCTTCATAGTTTTTCAGTAAACTAGTAAACACATATACTGAAAACTTAATGAAAGCTACACTATTTTAGACAATATGTTAAAGCTTTAAAGATACTGTAGAAAGGAACGCAAGGTGGACAACAATGGCTACTATCATTTTCTTTTTTGTGACTAGCGACGGAACTCAATTTAGGACTAGCCAGTTGTATCCACGTGGATCCAAATGAGTGGTTTTGTTTCCACTGAGACTAGAAACTTAAATCTATCGCTCGAAATGCTGGAGCACTATTCACTAGGCCACTAAGTCAAACTAGTCACTTTTTGCTAAGAGTATTTCCCATTGTTGGTTGGGCCGAATCGACCGACCACTATCAACATATGGGACGCTTGTGATTTCCATTTGATGGTAATGATGGATAGTGGCTAGCAATGTAACCCAGGACTCATGTTTCCCCCTATTTTTGACTGTTAAGCTGGCAGCAAAGAAGTTAAGAGATACACCTCGTGTGAAACAGGTATTAATCATTATTTATTGATGTTCCTACTTTCCTGTTATCATACTGGATCGAATTGAGTGAGCTCTATAGGCATATAGGCCACTATGTGGATTCGTTTGAAATGATGGGTGTGAGGTTTGAGTCTCAGTAAGAGCAACATTACTCACTAGGATGCAAATACATCCAGTCAACCAGTCTCGAAAAGGATGAAAAGCGCATTCTGGACTCTACTGCCAGCCATTATCAGTCAAACCGTAACACGACCAATATGCAGGCCATGTCAAGAGATTCGCAGAAGAGCAAATATTCCTACAGAAATCAATCAATTCTCTCCAGTATAACATCTGACAAGTACAAGTACCAATGAACAAAAACGATTTTTACTACTCACAAAGAATAAAGCACTTTTGAGGAATTCAGTATTAAATGGTTAGCCGAATGCTGAAACTCAACACCGTTATTCATTGACTTTAAACCAGAATACTGATGGTGAAATATATTTACCAAAAGCACTTAACTCGCAGAACGTTAACGGAACTAAGAATCACACTGTTGACCTTCACAATCATAGCTTCGGATATAAACTGTGATAATCGTTAGTAGCAAGTGTTTAATTTCTGAGATTGTAGATTACTTTATTCAATATTTAGATTGAGATCATCAATTATTTAGTCCTACAAAACTTACTAATCACATGATGGATTCATGCGAAAACTTTTGCTAATGGTTTCTAAAAAATATCAATCGTTCATTTGTTGTTCATTCATGTTTGTTGCCATAACGCTATTGGTCATCAATTTAATGTATCCTTACAAACCATTGATTTGACCAACAAGATGTGGAAACAGCGTAGGAAGAAAATTCTATCATACAATATACGAAAATATTATGATTTGAATTATGAACGAAACTGTTGGATTTTGGAGGAAATTATGTTGTATTCCTAAAAGATTGGATGGAAAGATTGGAATTATAACAGAATGCTACATTGGTCCTGGGTTGAACATAGTTGGAGAAGTTGTACGTCGTGGAGCAGTAGTGATAATGGCGTGTCAAGATATGGATATGGCTGAATCAGTTAAAATTCATTTACTTGAAAAATATAGCATAAGAAATCCAGATCATTTGAAAACTGACATAGCATGTAAAGAAATAATCCCGTGTCTTACTCCAGTGGAAGCACATCAGGTATTTTTAGTTGCATAGATTCATAAAAAATTCTTATCTTTATATAAAATGAAGTCAATGCACTTTAGCAGGCAAAATAACTTGTACAAAAAGTGGTTAACCTATTTATTGGACACAGATTATTTATTTATCTTACCGTATATTTATTATAATTTACCAACCTCGCTCGATATGCGATCATACTTTATTTTTAGAAGTGAAATCTAGCAGTAGCAAGTTGTGCTAAAATCCAGACTGGAAAGTTACTAAGAGTTACCATCAGTTATCTGATCTCAACTTTCCTCTGTTCAGTTCACCAAGAGGTTTTTTTCTTTCCCCTAATCTTTCAAAATATTTTATTTTATAAGACAAAACATTATAATGATAATTAATTTTTACAAAGCCTTTGTTACTCAAAAGTGTAGAGCTTCTCCATAGTGATGTCACATTTCAGAAGTGAATAGTGAACTACCGACTAAACATTATCAGTTGATGCCACTTCTCTAGAGGTTTGATAAGTGAGTACCTCCACCATAAATGTTACAATCAGTTTTGTTGTCACAGCTGCCACTGATCTCAACCACCAATATTTTATAACACAAAGAAACAAACATGTTTCCACAAACATTAGTTGAAAACAGTTTACCATTAGGAAAAACTGAGCAACGTATTGCATGAATGCCATTACCTTTGTAATATTGTTTACCGATAAATCGAAGCACTACAAGCTAGAAATAAAGTATAGAGAAATGAGTACTATAATGGTATATTCAGTTGCTGTACTAGTTGAATTGTTTGAGAGATGGTGTGTCTCAAATGACTTTGAATAGGTAGACTCCCTGCTTCCATTTCCCTTTTATCGAAGATATAAGTTGAGAAGAGCTGCGCTTAATATGTATGTATACAATGGTTTTCACAATGTGTTCTGGACTTATTGGTGAAAATCAAAGTCATTCAGTTTGGAGGTTTGTGGGGATTTTGTTGATTTCAGGTTGATATTCGTCACGCATTGAAATCCCTCTAGATAACCACTGGAAACTTGGAGAACATAACAGCCGCTTGGTCCTGGTATGGGACCCCTCACCAGTATGCACCCATAACTTGACCAGGTATAGAAACCAGGACATTCAGGCTCCCTGGCCAGCACGTTACCATCAAACCACTAGGTAAGGATCCAATGGTGACCATTTTCTCAGTCCTGTCAGTTTGCACAATGCAGCTGGCGCATTATCGTGGACTGATAGAAGTAGGAAAATGGTCACCACTGGATCCCGACACAGTAGCTTGATATTAACGTGCTGCCCAGGAAGCCTGAATGTCCTGGTTTCTATACCTGGTCGAGTTATGGGTGCATACTAGTGAGGGTCTTATACCAGGAATAAGCAGCCTTTCAGTACTCCCAGGTTTCCAATGGTTCTCTAAGTTGGTTTCCATTTATAGTGAATAGGAACTCACAATCAGAATCACTTAATAATAGAGAGAGATTATCATCCCTGCAGCTTTATTATTATTATTTGTCCCTTGGGTTCCTAATGGAACATAGGGCTTCAGTAGCACGTCTCCATCCCACTCTCTTCTCTGCAATCTTTTGAATCTGGTTTCACGAATGCCCACAACCTTCCATTTCTTCCTCACACCATCTCCTGCACGTCACCCTCAGCTGGGACACCCAACTCGTCGTTTCCCCTTTCGATTACACTCCACGGCCTGGCCTGGTGCGAGATGTTCCCAGTCGGCCTTCTCAGTGTATGCCCAATCCATCTCCACTTCCTTCTGCATATTTCTTGGGTGATAGGTCCCTGGTTAGTTCGTTCCTAGAGTTCTTTGTTGCTTATTCTTATCATTCTGGCCACCTGATCTTCAGTATTCAGCGTGGGCAGCTGTTGATGAATCTCTCCACTTTGTTGGAAATGCTTTTCCTGACACACCAAGTTTCTGACTTACTTCACTAATATAGTGTTGAAAATCCCGATCTTGTTCACACTTCATGCTGAGTGCAGTGGATCTACACACCAATTTCAGATTAACGAAGGCCTGTCTCGCTGTCTTTCCCATCCTGGTATTGACATCCTCATCTGTGCCTGTACCGCCTGTAGTTGGTTGAAACGATGCTGCTCTGCCTAGGTATGAATGTGAAAGTGACTACTTCCTTTAGACTTCTCTCGTTGGTGGTGATTGGCTCATGTTGTTGTTGTTGTTGTTGTTGGCTGGGCATCTTCATCACCTCTGTCTTCTCTAAGTTCACCTGGAGGAAGACCCGTCTTCGCTGCCTGGCATCGCCTCTTCTTCCAACTTGTTAGTTTTTGCCTGTAGTTCTTCGAGTTTGTGCGACGAGACATTGGACATAAATCGTCATCATGGGCGAAATCCAAATCTTCTTCTGAGGTCTTTTCATCGGTCCAGCGTATGCCTAACCTTCCGTCTTTATCCGGGCTTAGGACTGGCTAAAAACTAGTGAACTAGTTACCTTGGCGAGGTTCTTGCAGCTTTATACTACACTGAATCAGGTTTGGACATACGATACACACAGAAGACGTATGCTTATTTACAAAATTAGTACAAAGCTAGAATCATGTGAGAACAACAGAAATTCTCCTGGTTATATTGTATTCACACTAATTCAAAACACAGATAACGATGTGACTCAAACAAAGCGGTCAACTATTTGATAGACATGGATAACTCATTCGGTTGAATCACTTGTTTCCTACATTGAAATAATTCGTGATTCATCGATTTAGCTGTATCGTCAGTGTTTACATTCTTACCTGATCAGTTTTTCGTATGTTGCTATTCGTTTAGCCTTTCTAACTAAAAATGGCACAATTCCATTTCTTCAGTGAATATGATGCTTACCTACACAATTACATCGTTTCCATGGAAATGGTTTATGGATCTTATTGTCTAAATTACTCCTTGATTTGAATCAAAGTCAATCTGAAACTTTAGTGTTTCTAATCTGATATTAATCTAATTCATAATCACAAAATAAAGTATGCATTTATAATTTATCTACTTGAAGCATATAATTCTTTTGAACTTAGTGATAAGCATTAATTTGATTGTGCTACTTATTTGTGTATTCAGTTATTAGAATGTCAGATCTTACTTCATTCTAGTTGGTGATTGAGGTGGTCAATTTTACATCACTCAAGTCAGTTAAAGACTTTGCCAACAGAATGATAAAAACGTATGATAAATTGGATTTTCTCATTAACAATCCAGCTCTAAGAAACATAGAGAAGTATACAACTACCATTGATGGTTTCGAAATGACAATGGGTGTAAACTATTTTGCTTCATTCCTTCTAACAAAATTATTATTGCCTCTACTCTCGAGAGGTTCATCATCAAGAATTATTAATGTATCCTTTACAAACCACCTTCATAGTCATTTGAATAAACCAGATCTGCAGATGAGTGAGTCAAATTATAGTGGAGTACGTGCTTACAATCATTCACAATTGGCAAATATAATGCATACCATTGGACTGAATCAATACCTGAAACACACGGACATTATGGTAGTGAGTGCCCATTCAGGCTTTATAAAAGCAGAAGTTGCAAGAAATTTCAAATCATTCATAAATGTAAGTGCTTATTTATCCTTTATAACTCTTAAACACGGGTTGTATGATCACTGCAAAGAAATCGCAAATAGGATAAAACAGTTCACTAGTGATCCAAAATTTTCAATGGCTTTCTAATCGGTATCAATTTGTGATGAAAAGCTTCTCAATGATCAACCAACCAATCCTCACAGACCAATGATTGAATTCCTTTGAAAGTGTTTTCTATAAACAAAAACTTTTGAATGGACACCTACTGAATTTTCTGATGCAGTTAAAATCTGCTCAATATTTCAAGGTCCGGTTGATTCTTTATAAAGTGGAACTGACTTCTTGCATATAATATCCCTATAAAATAAAACTGTTATGAAATTAAGGCTAAATAAAGAATTCAATTGTTGAAATTACTGAACACTTTAGTTTTGTTTATAGTCTTCCAGAAACTATATCTTACTGTTAATTTTTTTGATAATATAAACACCATGTAATCCTGTCGAGTATGGGATGAGAATGAATATTTATGGTTTTAATTAGAAAATTAAAAGTCAATCTGATTTAGTTTAATGAAAAAAGTATCACTCATATTGAATGCTGCTTTGAGGCTGAATACTTTCAACGGCTTTAAATATTCATTTAACTTAAGTTTCAGACGATACCACTAAACTAAATTTGTTTGGAACAACTACTTCCGTGATAAATCGTCGATGAATCCAAGTGCATTTGATGAAAACTGCTTAGTAACTTCCAGAAATTCCCTTAAGTATAATAACATTGTTGTCAATTGACTCAATCAAAAGCTTATTGAAACTTATAAATGCTGTTGACAGAACTAAACTAAACAAAATCTATCAGTATGAAAGGCTTACTTACTTAAGTTCCATTAATTGATACAGTTGAGTTTTCTCACAGTTATGGTTATTATTTGAATGGTGATAATCATTGCACTCATTATAGGACAATAGATTTCTCTTAGGATGCAAACAAAACTATAATGTGTCAATATCAGCTAGTAAATTATTACATAAAACTGCACATTGATTAGTCACTGGACGGTAATCAACCTCATTTTGTTTATTCCTGAGTGCTGATCGAACTCTATCGAGCATTTTGCAATGTGGCTACCAGGCTGGGAGACTTCAATGACCAATCAATGTACCTGATCCAGTCAGTCCTAAAAGAGGTCAATCGCTGCCCAAACAGCTGAGTGGTAATATCCAGGAGTACAGCATTGGGTAGTGTAGGCTCCAGTTTCACCTAGGATACCAGTTTCGTCGAGGTTGAAGATAAGCCTTGCTGACGATTATTAATTAACTCGAAGCCTGGGTCCACAGCTTTCGGCCAATAACCTTCAAACATCTAACATTAACGCATAGTTGTGCTGACTAAAATATTCTCATTGAAAACATAATGATGATATCAGTGTTATTCGTGTTTCAGATAAGATTTTCCTACTAGACCCTATATTTTTATCTTACGCATACTTCTTTCCGAAAAGTAAGTTTAGTGAAACTTTGTGACCAGATTTCTTTTGGCTCATTTTATTTGGGATAAAAAATATTCCTTTCACGGAACTTGGTTATGTGTTAGGTATTAATCGTCATAGTTCTACTGTGGTAATTTTCCATTCATATCCGTCTAGAAATTGAAAGTCCGACATGAAACTCAGAATGTATGATTCGCTTTTTTTTTGCTAGATTGATAGGTGTGAATAATAGCATGTTACAAGCATAAATAACAAGCAAATTACATCATGAAGACATCAGAATAATTAAACGTTAAGGTATAAATATCTTCCCCAAGAAAAAGTCACCCATAGGCTTATTTGTGACTCAACTGAAGTTAAAACATAACTCCTTGTCAAAAGATGCAAGTGATACCTACACAGTTTAGTTTAAAAAACATTATGATACATGAGCTCCGTTTACAGGTCTGCTGCTGAGTATTAATCAATCTTGGATTGAAGTGATAGTCAGTAATGATCACTGTAGCACATTTTGGCACAAAACTTAAGAATTCAAATTTGTAAAAACTTCGGGTTGACCAAAAATCCTCAAGAAAACGTCTCCTTTACATAGCAGTCTGTAAGGTTGTAGTCACATCTTTCTGATGAGTGTTAACCAGTGGGAGTCCTAGCCTCCCTTCTTCCTTATATCTGTTGTGAAGTACCGCATATCAAAGCTACAATAATAATTTCTCAAAGGTTAAGTGCCTTGTCCATTATATTTGGTAACCGATTGTAATCATTAGTTCAGTTGTTCTTAATTCTAAGTATCTATCATATCAGAATTTCCGTTTTTCTAGTTAACACTGACCATCTCTTACTAATCTATAACTTTAAACGTATGGCAGAATTGTTGCCTTTTAGACAGGTCAAAAGAAGAGATTCACAGGATAGTTAATTATCATCCGGAAAAAAGTACTGTTACGTAAAAAGATTTAGCATTTAAAAATCCGTAGTAGTTCAAATGTAAATGTGTACATTGTAACTACTTATAAGAGGCAAAACCAAATGTAGAATGATTAAAGTAGTTTGAACATTCAATAAATAATCTTCAACATTTTCGTATTTTTGCTTTCTAGTAAACAAGAAAATAAAACAAGATTGATGTTACTGATGTGCTGCCTATTTTGGTTAGTAGTCATGTATTGGAAATTCCAGTTTATCATCACTTTGGTAAGCTGTCGTCATTAAACAGCAAAATATCAAATAAAATAATTCAATTTAGCCTTTGATTGAAGAACATGAACATCAGAGTAGTGAGAGGCGAACAATCTTTAAGGTTACCAATAAAGGCATGCCTGTGGCTAATTCATAGGTATTAGAAGATTAAAATTTGTAAATAACCGACTTACCATGGATAAAGTCCATACTGAAGTTTGTTTTCCTTTCTTTTTTATAGGAAATTGCTGATTTTTTAGCCACACCACTGTTCTTCAGTCAATGGGAAATGGCTCAAACCGTACTGTATACACTTCTTACGGAAAAATTAATACCTGGTGGTTATTATAAGAATTGTCAGTTGAAAACATTGCCTAGTGTGATCACAGATAGTAAAGAAACCAAATGCCTCTGGGATAAAACTTGTGAACTTCTTAGACTGCATTTCCAACAATAACAGGTTGACTTAATCAACACTTTATCCTAATGAAACTTCGTAATATAGACCCACCAATTTAATATTTCCCTTATTCTTGTTGACGCTTCAACTTCAACTGTACTACTGCTTATCATCCACTAGTGTATATCTGATCTCATTTTCATTTCTTTCTGCATAGTTGTGTAAATGTTTTACAATTTGTAAACCTGAATTCTAATAATTCTTTGTTATACAGAAGTTGAACATATTTTGTATGAAACATTTCGATGTATAAATAAACTTTTCAAAGTCATCAAATGTGGTCAGTGAAAGTCAGAGAAGGTCAATTTGATCCTCACAGAAATTCATATCTTTAATCGAAACTATGTGTAAGCAACTTATGTTTCCTTTCTCGTCGATTTACAGATAGTCTGAATTCATTTTTCTATGGATTCATAGACACAGACCATTGAAAGATCATCAGCCTGCAGACTAAGGTAGCAGGCAGTCTCTGACTTCAACAGTTATCTCAGTGATTCCAACTCGCAGGAAGATAAATAATAGAGTTATTTCATTTTTCCGTGAAGAAATAGTATAAACTAGTCGTATCAAGTCTTAAGTTACTCTCAGTAAAATAATCTCATGCAATAGATTTGCGCATAATAAGCAAAAGATACATTAGAATATTTGAATACAATAATTTTTTACAGAAATGGAGGTGATGTGACTGCTTCAGAGTAGAACGTAGGTTCTAGTAATAAATGAAACGAGTAATAACTCAGTGAGATACTTGAACGGGACACTAGTAATGCAACTGTTTTCCCCCAACACCTGGTAATTCATTCAGCCCCAAAAGTCAAAAGACAAAGAACAGGTCTGTGACTGACTTAAGTAAGACGAATTTATTTGACAAAAAAAACAGTATTTATATACACCTTGTACTCAGAAAATGAAGCCACTAGATCACCAATTAGCTGAAGGACTAAATTGTCAGTAAAATTTATTTGACTATACATGGATATGAATCAAGATTTGAAACGAGAATATTTCTACCCCAATGGCGAATGACGCTGAATGACAATTTCCATTTTTGGCCACTTCCTATCATAAGGCATCCTATAGAACTAAAAATTGCAATCAACTTAATTGCAGTGACTCCAAAATAAAAATGGTTAAATTGAATACGGTAAGTTATAGAAACTAATTACTGATAGAGAAACTCAAATAAAGGGTAAGATATCCTTGTACATTGATATCAAGCATTACTTCAAAACACTGACAGTGAAGTTGAAAAAAAAACATCCTAGTACACTCAATCAAGTTTTGTGAACAATTGCAAAGTAGGTATTGTGATAATTTGAGTAGATAAGTTCACATAGGCGTTAAGAATAGAACTTTGTATAGATTTTCTTTTATAGTTACAATTTCTGTTTCATGTCTGCTAAGAAAATCCAGCAGTTACTATCTATAAAACTTACCTCATATTATCGAGTAAGATAAGGATTCATTCATGTTTATTAATTACAGGATGCAGATAGCAAAAGTCAATTTATACTCAAGTTACCTAAAGAAATAGTACTAATAACTGCTTGTTTGTGATTGTAAGTTATGGTTTTATTGGTGTAAATCAGAAACTTTAAAAAATGGTCCATTTTATCTTCAAATTAAATTGTACTACCAGTTAATTTAACTAAAATGATTGTACGTTTAACGGGTTGATAATGAACTGAAATATTTCTCAGTATTCATCAAATATTCACGGACGACTAGGGAAGAATAATATTTTGAAAATAAAAAATGATCGAATCCGAGAATACATTTTTTAAAGCATAATATTAGGCTTTATTTTCAAGTGTACTGAAGTCATCCCGAAGCATTCGAAGATAAACCCAGACTAAGGTTTAGATTTGTGCAAGCTATTTCTGATAAGCTGGTTTTTTTTATCTACACCACTTCTTATTCTCATGCTTATAATCTGAGATAGTTAAATGCTTTTTAGTTAGCTTCTTTCAAAGGAAAATAATCCTTTACCTAGATTTGAAAGCCGTTAACAAAAGAGAGATAAGGAAACATGATATCATTTCCGATTTGTCAACTATTTTTGTTAAAATTATGTCAGTTTTCATTTTACGAATTCTATAGTGTTTATTTTTTTTTAAGCAATCTTTCCCACCAAATACATCTCTGGTTCCTTAACGTAAAACCTCAAGTTGTATTTGTTCACCTCCCTATTAGTCCTTTCCGTCAGTTTGTAAGTGTCGAAAACAATTTTCGGTACAAGTAGCATAAAAATTAGCATTACACAATTCAAATAATCAGTCCAGCAAACAAAAGCTTATCTTTACTGTTCTTGCTATTCCTCTGCACATAAACCAAATAAACACTTGAGAAATGTGCAGTATACTGAATTTTTTCTCCAAATTAAGGACAGGCTGCAAAACTTCATCATAAGAGCAAAATACACTTACTTTTGACAATCAACTAAGGTAGGGTATTCAGAAAAAATGAGAGCTACTTGATAAGATGCTTAAGTAATTGGGCTAGGAATTTATTTGACAGATAAACCAGAAAACCTAAATCAGGTAATGAAACACATCCAAAAGACACTATTTCCTAAACTTACCCCACGGGAATTTATTAAGAAGTTAATTGTTATTATTATTATTATTAGGAGTTAATCAGGACTCATAAGAAAAGGAGTAGTAATATTAGTGATGATTACAACAAGCCTAAGAGGGAGTTCAAATTCCCTATAGTGTCATTGCATAAAAAGGGTATATCTGAAATTTTCCGTAGGATACTTAACAATCCTAGGATTAGAGTGACATCTGAACGCAAAACCTCGCTCGGAGAGAGACTTTGCAATCTTTGTTCATTGAATCTACACCTAACATGTGTAACAGGAATGACTCACCACATATTGCAGATATCTAGAGAATTGTACTACCATTAAAATAAATGAATGAAGTGTTGGACTATATAAAGGAATTTTGAAAGTCGTATAATTACTTTCTTGTCGATATGAGCAATAAATCCTGCTCAAAACGTCACCCAGTAAAATATACTGTCACTGTGTTTTATATCAAATAAACAATCTAATCTGGGATTAAATGTCAAATATGAACGAAGAGTATTCTTGTTAACAACTCATGAGGTTCTACAGTTAGTTATAAAATCAATTTCCTTAGCATATTAATGGTCAGAATTTACCGTAGATACATTTAGCAATGTGTATGGAATCATAGTTAAAATTTGACTCTGAGATTGTGGATAGTAGTGAAATTTATATACGTATGTCAATCGGGGTGATAAGTTGAGTTTAAACATTGTCAATTGATTGGTGATCAAACGTGTGGGGAAGGAGAATTACTAATAAAGTTCAAGGTTGCACATTGTGTTGTATGAGTGATTAGTACAATTTGCTATAAGGGCAGAAATGGAGTGGATATGTCGTCATCAGATGGTTAGTATGTGAAAAGAATAAGATAATGAGAGTAGCGATAATGTGAAAACATTTTAACAGGAATTTTAAAGATGGATCATGGCTAGCAGTGGAATCGAGGAGGCGCATTTCGTGCTACCTGGGACTCGTCAGCTTGATGTACCTGCTTCGCAGTATGATGTAAAAACAATTATACTAGGAATTTTAAAGGCTTATTATTATAAGACGGGGTAAAGTCTAGTTAGAAAATAGCATTGATGATGATAATAATAATAATTTCGTTTTGAAGAGGAAGAAAAGACGACAGTGGAGACGAAAAAGAAAGATTAAGAAAGAAATGAAAGGGTTGAGGGAATACCGTTTAGTCAGTGGAAGGCAAGTGAGGAGTAGGGCCTGGAGGCATTCTTTTCGAATACAAAGTTCAAGTTTCGTTGATCTTATGGTTACAGCTTCAATGACCATTCCACTTTTTAGATAAATTCATATCATTTATTGTACTGACCACTCATACAACACAATGTGCAACCTTGAACTTTATTAGTAATTCTCCTTCCCCACACGTTTGATCACCAATCAACTGACAATGTTTAAACTCAACTTATCACCCCGATTGACATACGTATATAAATTTCACTACTATCCACAATCTCAGAGTCAAATTTTAACTATGATTCCATACACATTGCTAAATGTATCTACGGTAAATTCTGACCATTAATATGCTAAGGAAATTGATTTTATAACTAACTGTAGAACCTCATGAGTTGTTAACAAGAACACTCTTCGTTCATATTTGAATTTTAATATATAAAATGAGAATTTTTAAATGTCTAAAATCGTATAATATGGGATTGTACTCTTCTATACTGCCTAAGTTTTCCCTTATATAATGGATATGATTCAGAGGGACATAAAACAAAGTCTACTTTCAGTTGATGCATACCTGACTATTTTAAAAATATTAGTTTTGAAACAAGAACTCAAAGAACATACTGCTTAAAAGGCGTCGAACAGTCACTTCATAAATTCTATTATGAAGTATTCTTCGTAAAATCGCATATGACTAGGATATTTCTTAGACCAATGAACTTGAAACAGTATAGTAGTTGCGAGGATCTTTTCAAATCATGATACTCTGTTCATGTACCTGTGAAAAAACCACCCTTGAAGTTAGACAGTTTTAAAAGCGTAGGTCAATCCTCATTGGTCACACTTCTATAGAACGTGAAGTTTCTACTCCCTCAAGTCACTTTCATTTTCAAAAAACCCAGGATTATTCTAATTTACAGTTAGAAATTCATCATTAAACAAATCCCGCTTTTCGAACTTCAGTTTTAATCATCAATTTCTCAGTTTCACCGTAGTCTTAAGGATATAGTGAGAAAAAGAGTCTATGTTATTTGGAGGCAAATGACAAGAATCCCTCCTTGACCTAAGTTACGTGCTTGTTGGAACTTGTCAGCAAAGCGTATTTTCAACCTCAATGGGACCATGTGAGGTTTGAACTTGCATATTCCAGTGTTGCAGTCAGTGAAGTCAGCACTGAACTATCTGAGTCACAACTGACCTCTTGTAGGAGTGGATTAGATGTACTCAT